ATGCGTTTTTGCTGCCTGTTGCAGCGCTCTAGCGCTGCACGGCAAAAACGCATAAAAACGCATAACTGCGTCGGCCGCCCGGTGCGCGCCGCCAATGATTTACGACAGCACATCAGTAGAAATGAAAACACATGGAGTGGTCTTGTTCACATATATGTGTAGGTGTATGTTTGTATTTGTATATGTTGTGTTCGCACGTTTGTTAATTTAGGAAATATGTGCTTGTTGGGCTCGGGGCGGAAAGGCAGCTGGTATAGAAATAACAGAAGAAAAAGTGCTTTTTCACTTTATATATATTTTTTTTTAATAATTAAGGCTTTTCAGGTCTTCTCGAGTCAGCATATGTTAAGTGTTGGCGAGATGAACAGCGGCGTTGCACATGTGAAGCGTGAACCTGTAGCGGATGCTCGCGACACTGATAATGCCTGGGTGGAAAATGATGTATGGGCGGTGTTTCTGGGGTATGTGATTTAAATCTATTCTCTATGATAGTTTGTCAAGACGCCTTGTTAGCATTTCAGTATATGCATATATGCATACACTGAAACTTCGGATGTGTGGCTTTTTTTCTAATCTCACTTGAAAGTGTATAAACAAAGTTCCTTTCTGTTCAACTATTTTTGTTTTTTGTTTGCTCACTGTTTTGCATTTTTCAGGTCACGAGTCCCAGAAGCATCTGTGCTATCGCATAACCTAAGCTGGATACACTGGGATAGCGACATTTTAGCCATGCAGGACAGAGAATATGTCAGCACATCATTTTCATTTCTCGACAGTGCTGAGCAGTAGAAGAACTGATATTTGACGTAGGCTGGTATTCGTCAGTAGCTTAATGTTTAAGACGCGCTTTCAGGATGCACACGCTTATAGGAAAAGAAGAGGGTGCTCTAGTTCACATTTGGCTTCTCTGGAAGATGAAAAATATAATCCATTATTTTTTAAAATGGTAGGATTACGAAGAATGCCCACTGCTGTGAGTCTTCAGTGTTATTTGAATATACGCGCATGCTGCACACAACTAGATCACTAGCACTTCGCCAATAAAAAATTTTCTGTTGTTTAGTGCCAAATCCGAAAATATTTCCTGTGTTGAATATTTCCACTTTATTTCGAATATTGTGATGTAATAAAAATTTCTTCACGTCGCTTGATTATTCATTTGCT